CTCCCTCCGCGCCCAGCGCCCGCCACCTCCTCCCGCCCTCTGGCTCCCTCCTTCTTCCCGGGCTCCAATCGCCACCTTCCACCCGCTCCCCGCCCGCGCCGCCTCCTTTCCCCCTCCTCTCCTCCCACTGTCCTTCCCGCGAACGGCTCAGCTCGCGGAGGCTGGCTCCAGCCGAGACTCGCAGACGGACGGAGCTGGCAGCCGGAGCCCGGGAGGGACTGGCAGCCAGATCCCCGGGGAAGTCTCGGACCGAGAGGCTGCAGAAGGAGAGGGACGCGGGCGCAGAGAGCCGCGTGAGCCGCACAGACTCCTAAAAGAAGGTGGACACAGATCCTAAAAGAAGGGTACAGAGCACAGCGGTGGGGCCTCGGCCTCTCCGCCGCCCCTTTGACGTCCCGAGCCGCGGATGCGGGATCTCGTCCGAACCAGGCCTGACCTGGTGGGGGCGCCAGACTTAGACACCCAATGTTACCGGTGTCCCAGGTCTTAGGACCCACGGGAGCTGTCTGTGTCATCTTTTCTCCCAAAGGACTCAGGGCTGAGGACCCACAGAAGGCTCAAGACTCCCACCCCTGGACGGCTTCAGTCATCGCCCCGGTGTTCTTGGGTTTTCCCAATGCAAGTTCTCCTGATGGCGTAATCCCATTCCCTTCTTTTAAAGGCTGATGTTGGATAGGAACGTCTGGAATTAAACTAATGGGCCGTGGTGCTAGTTTGAGTTGTGACGCTCGGAGGGGAAGGTGGAGGGTAGGGATGTGGTCCTAGAGTCTTTGAACCTGCCGCCGTTCCCACTCTCCTGCTGTTACCCTCCCCACTGGAATTTCCATAATGGGAGTTGGTGGAGCCCGAGGATCTCCGTGCTGAGAAGTGGGAAGTGCCGTGCCGGGGAGTTCAAGGCTAGGGTAGGTGCCCAAAGCAACCCAGCACTCCCTGCTCAAGCCCTCTGTGTCTGCCTGCCTGCCCCATCTCAGCGGAGTTCTGGGCTCATCCTGTCTCTGGCAAAGACTGTGTTTGGCGGTCTGGTTCTGATTACTGGGAGATGGAGCCCCTGATTCTAATCTGGCAGCTGGGAAGAGGCTGGAAGCAAGGCCACGGTTCTTACTGTCCAGTGGCTGGACTCCTGGGGGACCAGGGAAGAGCTGGAGAGGCGCTGGGAGGGAGTGGTCGCACTGGCGGTGAAGAGAGAGCAGCAGAGGTCAGAAGACAGAGGCAGGGATTGGAGGCTGAGGGTGATGCTGTGGCGAGATTAGATTACACAATTAACCTGGAATATGAAAATATACTTATTTGATGCCTGCAGCTAGCTCTTTTAATATTCAGACCTTTCCAGAATGTCCTGGGCTTTAGCTGGAACTCGCTTTGTAGACCAGGCTGGCCTTGAACTCACAGAATCCTCCTGCCTCTGCCTCCTGAGTGCTGGGATCAAAGGCAGGGACCACCTCCGAGTTTTTAACTGATGACATCACCAGTGAGTGAGCAAGACTGGACTAGAACTTCACACCAGGCTGGCATCCTACCCTGCCTAAGCAGCCACCAAGAGGAACTTGAAAGGTTCCTAGGAATTGGAGGGGGAAGAGTAGAGTCACAAGATGGGTAGCTGGATTCTCAGCTCAAGCTTGATCACCACTCTCTGGGTACGAACTGAGGGAAAGGGATCTAAAGCAGGCTACCTGGTGGGATAGGGTAATAGGGAGTAGGGCTTGGGGAGCCAGCCAGGCATTGTGATTGCCAGCTCAGGGCAGCAGGGGAGGGGAGAGCCAGGCCACTATGGAGAAAGGTGTTCACCCACTTACCCTCCCTCCGTGCAGATATTCTTACCCTGACTAGTCCATCTTGGCACTGAAGGAAGAACCCCCTCTTCCACAGCCTGAGACCTCATGCCCATGACTGATGCACTCAGTTTCTTGGGGTGGGTCTTGAGAATGTGGGGCTGTCCTGGCTGAAAAGCACTAGGTCAGGAGAACTTCAGTCTGGGCTCTAAGAACCAGGAAGAGCAGTGTGGGGTAAGGGGCAGAACCAACTCCAGAGGCAGATCTCCTGGGAGGACAGAGCAAGCATTGTCCAACCAGGAGGTTGCTGCAGCTGGGCGGGGACAGCGTTCTCTTCCAAACTTTCTGTGGAGGCGGGAAAGCAAGTCCCCCTTCACTGTAGCCCTGGGGGCTATAATGGTTGCTGAGAAACGAAGCTTGTTTGTTGAATGTTGCTTCCCAGAAGCAGATGTGAAGCTCAGTCAGTTCCTGAGAATATTTGCTGCGAGCTAGTGAAGCGCTTGAGGTGACGTTCTTAGCATGAACTTGGGCCCTCACTACCTCGGATTCCAGAGCACAGTGCCTGCTCTGATAGGAGAAAGCAAGTGTGTGTGGCCTGGAGTATACCCAGCCTAGACTCTAGGTTAGAGTCTAAGTGAACATCCTGTTTGCATTCGGCTGGCTGACAGGGACAGACAGGCAGTGAGGACTGATTAGCCCTGTCCCTGCAACTAGGTTTCTGAGTCTCTTCTCAGACCTTGGTTGCTCCCAGTTGGATAGCCATTAGGTCTATGGAGATCAGCTCCTGGAGCGAAGCCTAGGAAACCCTCTATCTAGTCACACTGAAAAGCTCTCACAGCACAGCCACTCACAGATCCCTACCCAACTCTGCCAGATTTGGACTTGTTAGAAAAGAGAAACAGGCAGTGTCGGCACACACCTTTAGTCCTAGTACTCGGGAGGCAGGGGCAGGATGATCTACAGGAGTTTGAGCCAGCCTGGTCTACAGATCAAGTTCCAGGATGGCCAAAGCTACAGAGAAACCTTGTTTCAAAACAAAATACACCACACACACCCCAGCTGCCCTTAATGGCCAGCAGCCAGTGCTACATCATTCTTGGATACAACTCCCTCAAATGTGTTCCAATTCCTTGACTCCAGAGGTTCTGTCTCTGTCCTAACCCTTTTTCCTGCTTTCTGGTAGCAACCAGTTCTGTCTGGAAAACTTAAATCTGAGGTATCTCCAGGACAGCAGTTTCTGCATTGGTGCCAAGTAACTTGCTGTGTGCAATTCCAGTCAGTGTGGCTGGCACCACTTGGCCTCATGGATGGCCGAGAGTTTAAGAGGCATGTGCCGCAGGTCACATCCACTCTCCGGTGTTAACACTAGTCAAAAGGCTGGGGACTGAGGCCAGTGACCAGGGCACCAAACCTTGGGCGTATGTACTGGGGCCTACCTCCACTGCTACACAAAACCCAAGGGCTGGAGACGGGGAAGAGGCGAGGACAGTTCAAACACGGAGTATCCAAAAACTGCAGCGGTAACTTCAACTTTAAAGACTGGATTTATTTGGAGAAAAACAAAAAACCCTCAACCCAAAGGATGGGATTTTACATCTCAAGACATCTCCCAAGTAATGTCTACAGATTACAAATCATTTTCATAGAAGATATTTTTGTACAAATTTTACATGTATTCAGGAGCGGGACATAAGTCAACCCCTGCTTTTATTTTAACAGAGGAGCAAAGTAGGAGAGTGGGACAGAACAGCTTTCTTCTGGTGCAACTATCTGGAAGGGAAATAGACATG